ACTCAATGACTAGTCATGAGATGATTCTTCTTAAAATTAAAAATTTACAAAGCTTTATTCTATAATATGTTCCCTGTAGTTCAAGTAGTTAATTAATAAATCCTGAACACATATATGCACTCTTTTGGCTAGTAGGAAACACCTGATACCTGTTATTTCTTATTGTATTTGAATAGAATTGTTTTCTTCAGTGTCACTCTATGGAAAAAATCTTTTCCTTAGTCTCAATTAACCTGTATTTCCTCCATCTGCTGCATGCAGCCTGCTCTTTACAGAGCTTAGCATGTGATGAATAGAACAAGGCTTCTAAAACCTTTAATCAGTCTATACTCAAGCATCCTTCCGTCTCGATGCTGCTCATTCAATGAAGGAATTTTCCTTTCCATGTAGAAATCAGAAATTGTTGTAAGACATCCACATAAAACCCCAAATATTAATTTCACAATTTGAGCTAACAGAGTCTTTGACTTTCCACATAGAGCTGAGGAACCGCAAAATAAAATGTTCAGTTCTAAAGTGTTGATCAAGCCTCTCCTCCCTAGCTGTGGGAGAACCTACCACTGAGAATATTGGTAAATGGTATTCTTGTTAGAAACATTTTAAATATGTGTTTCCTGATGAATGAGAGAGTGAGCTTGTCTGATTCTTCCATGGAGAGAAAGCTCGCTGATGTGGGTGACATAAATAAGAAAACAACAGCAGTGTGGTATTACTGTGCCTTGGGCTTTGGTATAAATTGTGAAAGAATCTTGCCTGGGAACCCACTCTGACAGGTCTCTGAAGTGTGGTCTGTCATTAGCTCTTAGTCAGAGCTGAACTGAGCCAGTGTGATCCTTCTGCATTTTGATGTCAACCCCATACATAAGGAACAGACACAGCTGCCATTTTCCTTCCATAGAAATGAGCATCCTGCTGCTTAATGGGTGCCAGGATGACAATTCGTCAGAAAGACTAATTGGCAAAGGAAGCCAAATTTGTGACCACAAGTGAGTATTTTAATTTTTTGATCATCTGCTATAGTTTGGGATTTTACCTATTAAGTTGCAAGTTTTTAAACTCTACAGTTTTGTGTTCTTAGCTCTTCAGAGATGTCTTCGGCAAACTGGCTCCGAACTCATGGCCTGGTGGCCAAGAAACTCACCATCATGGATGCCTTGTCTTCTACTGCAGTGCCCCACAGCCCCACCTATGTCCCCATCCTGAATAAGCATGTTGTTTCCAAGGTCTTTGATGAGGTAATCGGATTGTCTGTATGTCCATGCTTAAGGTGGTTTTATTTTATTTTCTGTTCAAATAAAAAATAATCCACTTCCATTTCTTAATGCAGTTGTAACGGAGACATTGAAAGAAGTTACTTGTAAAGGCAGTAAAAGGGAGAGAGGGGGACTCTTAAGATGTTTGTGGAACTGGAAGGAAGTTGGTCTTTATTGGGTTGGAAGTTTATAGCTCCTTGCTGCTGGACCAGGGCATGGAGCTATAGAAATGTTAAAACTCTCTAGATCAGAGTCGTGAATAAACTCAGGAACTGAGGACAGGGAGGCTCTGCCAGAGACCTACCTTCCTTCCTTTGCTTGCTCTCTTGTCATGAATTGAATGACATTTCTTCCATTGTAAAAGTCTCCATAGGTAGGGGGGAGGGAGGGGGAGGAGAAGGGAGAGGGGAGAGGAGTGGAGGAGGGAAAGGGAGGGGAAGGGAGGAGAGAGAAGACCAGAGAGTGGTAGTCATGTTCCCAGAGGAAAAAAAAGAGCTTCCAGTAGGAGAGTGGGATAGGGTTATATATGGCAGAAGGCCAAATAAGTACCATTAAGTACAGTTGGTCTTTGGTATCGGTGAGCTCTGCATTCATGGATTCAACCAACCTTAGATCCAAAGTTGCATCTGTGCTGATCATGTATGAACTTTTTAGCCCCCACTATTACCTAATCAGTATCACAACTATTTATATAGCATTTACATTGCATTCTGTGTTGCAAGTAATCGATGATTTAAAGTACACGGGAGGATGTGGGTAGGTTATCTGCAGAAAATGATATCGCTTTATATAAGGGTCTTAGGCACCCGTAGAATTTGGTGTTTGCATCAGTGGTAGTATGTTGTAGAAATGATACTCCCATAAGTGGGGCGGGGGGGCAGTTGTACTGAGAAGTTATCATTGAATTTGGGAAAAGGGGGAAGGTCCTTGTCTTTAGCAAGAAAAATACCTGGAGCAGCCCAAATAACAGTGGACTGGTGAAGAGTTAAAAAAAAATGTGAACATGAAGACTGGGCCCCACTGCTTCCTGGAGCATCTACAGTGAGTGGGTGGGGGTTTAAATATCAACATATCAGGCTTTCCAGGTGCTAAAGGAAACAATATCCTTCAAAGGACTTCCTCATCCTGAAATATTTACTGAGGAAATAAGATGTTTAGGATTTGCTTCAAGATCATCTAGATGGTAGGAGGTGCTGATGGGAGGGTAGGAGTAGATGGGACAGATTGGCCATGAGTCGAAAACTGTTAAATTTGAATAAGATTAGTGAGGAGGAGGAAGTTTATTGTACTATTATTTCTGGGTTTTATGTATTTGGAATTTTCCATAAGGAAAAAGAAAGCAAGGAAGCAAGTGAAAGGCTTTCTATAACTGGCCTTGGAATAGCTGAGGTTTGACATATTTGGACCAGCAAATGCGATGATGAAATTCTTTCTATTCGTCATTAGTTTCATTTAAAGGCTGTATAACCCATGGAGATCAGTATGTACCCTGTCAACACTGCTGAGCTCACTTTGGAGGCTGTGTGCAGACCTTGCCTTGAGGCTCCTGAAGCAGCAGGCAGCGGCGGAGCACTTACTGACTTATGTCCTCCAGGAAATTTGGTGACATTTTCTTCATATTCGGTGTACTTATTTTAATACACTCGGATTATATTTGGAACAAAATATATTTAGTGACCTCTCCTCGGAAGTAGAATTACCTTGGGCCTCTATCATCTCTCCTTCTAACCCTCCCAACAATTTAAGATATACTGAAAAGTAAACTTGTTCAAAAGCAAATGTGGCAGGGAGAGGGAATATAATCATAAAATCACAAGAATCCATAGAGATTTATAGACTAAATGCACTAAAATGTTTTTCTGCATAAAAGCATATGAAGCAAAAGCAGATGTAAGAAAAATATCTGCAGCATATACAATGAAAAGAGTCAGTAAGAATTATGTCTGACATATATGCATGTGGTTTAGCATATACCACTATGTGCATAAATCAGTTGTCCTAGTTTGTCTCTCCATTGCGGAGACAAAATACTCTGACCAATACCAACTTGGGGAGGAAAGGGTTTATTTGTCTTACATCTCCTGGGTCACAGTTCATCAGGGAGCCCAAGGTAGGAACTCAGGACAGAAACCTGGACGCAGGAGCTGGAGCACAGGCCATGGAAGAACTCTGCTTACTGGCTTGCTTCCCTGGCCCCTGCTCAGCTTGCTTTCTTATGCAACACAGGCCCACCTACCCAGGGGTGGCACCAGCCACAGTGGGCTAGGCCCTCTCATATCACCAACAATCAAGAAGATGCCCCACAGATGTGGCCATAGGCCAGTCCTATGGAGGCAATTCCCCAATTGAGGCTCCCTCAA